ATAAATTGTTAAAATAAACATTACACATGAAATAACTGTCGCCGAAATAGCCAATTGGTATATTATTGTACATAATTGTTGTCCGTAAGTAACAATTCGTTATTTATTTATATATATTTATAATAGAGCATTATTGGATACCGCCTGTTAAGTAGTATTGAATATCATGTAAAAATATATTCTCAGAAGAATTGTTAATTTAATTTACTTAAATCGTGTATATTTAATTTAGAATATTTTTCTCAAATTTTGCTAAAATACTCATATTTATTATATAAAAAAATAAATCGCTTGAAACTCTAAAGCAGAAATTAATCATTCAAGTTAAATATAAAAGTTAGAAAATCTAACATATCAAAATAAACTAATATGTACATGATAGAAAAGGTACGTGAAATTTGAAATGTACACTTGTATAATATGTACATACATATATCATCTCAATGATTTTAATGCAAAGTAAGAGAGGAAGATTATATAAATAAATAAATATATTAATATATTACATCTATTTAGACAATTTCATACAAATACACATCTTTCCACGCCAAGCACGGAAAATTAGAAATTTATGTCAAAATGTACGGAATAAAAAATCATAATAATATAACATAAAACTAATATTAAAAATATAGACCAAAGAGGGACCAGGAACAAGAGCTCACTAAGCGCTCAGTGAGCGGTCGTAGTACTGAATACACCCAATCACTGGGTTTCAATGAACTGAACAGTTAAGCGCTCGCTGTTATTGGAGCATTCTTTTAGATCATCCAATCAAAATTTTAGATCTACAAGAATACATCAATAGTAGCAGCGGCTCAACTGTTGAGCCTACTGAACGCAGCCACTGAATGCTTACTGATCACTCTGCTGAATGCAGTCAATGGGCGTATTCAGCAGATTTAACAATTATGTCTGTTGCTATTGGCGTATTTTTCTAGATCTAAACGTCTGATTGGATGATTCAAAATAATACACCCAGGTATAAAGACAAGGTATGCTTGTGCGCACGTTTACGCCCATTGATGCCGAGCGACCAATCAGAATTATCAACAAGCAGACGTCATCATTACGCGGTAACATATTACTTTATGCATGAACATATTACTTTAAGCATGCCTTCCTTTCAAGGTAAATATAAGAAAAATTTCTTTACAAGTTATTTATAAGTTATTTTATATGAATTTATTATAGGAATTGAATGCAATAAGTTATTTTTTAGTAGTACGTATAAACACAATACACGGACACTAGCCGGAAGTTATCTATACATGTATAACGGCGTGTATTTCACGAACACGAACCAGTTCGAAAATAGCTGAAGCTGGCTGAATGTGACGTATGCTTGTTACTTGCGCATTGGTACCACCGAACAAGTATATCTTGTCTTTATATCATGCAGATAGCCATATTTCACGGAGTCAAATCTGCTCGAATCGTTACAGAAACAGTCGATGATGACGTACGTTTGGTGACATCCTCATTATTCCGAATTGCTGCAGTGATTTACCATCAGATACCCTTGTCTTTATATCATGAATACATCAATGGTCGCTAAAAGAATTTCATCGTGATTACTTTACAAAATAATGCGAAAAAGTTCACTAAAGATTTTATATAAATTTTTTTATAAAAATCATAAATGTGTAGTTTTTTAAATAAAAAATATATTTAGTTTAAAAAAAATCTACGGCGGAACCAAAGAGCGAGACCAAGCACAATCACAGAAAGAAAAGCTAAGTAATGATTGCAGAGTTGTGATTAGTGCGCTATTCCGTTCCGCTGTAAATTTCCGTATGGGACAACAGCCTAAGGGTGCGTTTCCAATGAGCGCATTACGCGTCACATCATCATGAATAAACCAATCAAATCATTCCATTAGTGTGCATACACAGATGGGACGTTTTGATTGGTTTAGTCGTGATGATACGAAGTGTAACGCGCCCATTGGAAACGCATCCTTAGATATACACATAACCTCTCTCTTTCACGACGCATGACGCGTTTAATGGAAACGCACCTTGAGGGTGCATTCAGACTTGAAAGCGTCAAGAAGTGAATAATCCTGGATCCCTAAACAACGCTTTGACATCAAATGCTAATTGGTAAAAAACAGATAAAAGGGGTAAATTTAATCTCTATTATTCGTTTTTCACCAATCAACGTTTGGTGTCAAAGCGCTGTTGTGTATATAAGGATCCGGACTAACAAATCAATTAGTGAGACAGTATGGACAGTGACAAATAAAAAATATTTTTATGCTAATGCCTGTATTGCCTCGCTGATTGCTTTGCTACTCGCTGTTTGAAGCTTCAACCGTTTCAACCGAAGTCACACGTTTTCTGAACACTCATTTAGGTCTCGTTTCCGTTAAGATAACTTTCAGTGCAAAATACATTTTGTCGCATCTCGTTGAAGTTCAACTGAACGAACAATGAGTAGCAAATGCCACCGTAGTCGAGAAAATTCGTAATATTTGTAAAAAAAGTGAAAATTTCTTCATCAGATATTTAAAAAATATTTCAAAGAATGACATCGGATAAGGTATGAAAAAATATATTTTTTCACAATTGTTTCTCTGTAAATACAGCAAAAGCAATTATGAAAAATTTGCATCATGTAACATTTTTGATGCTGCACACGAAAAGGCACTTTAAGTTCTAAATTGATATAAAGGTACAATTTCATGAGCTGCTCTAATCAACCGAAAGACAAAAAGGATCACGTAGTCAAAATTAATTAATATCACGCGCCAATAAAATTTACCTTAAGGCCTAATGTCCACGATGCTAGAACTCGATTCTCAGATCGAGAAATATGTAACCAGTCAGCATACAGTTTTTACGGAAAACCGGCAAGTTGATTGGCTACACATTTCTCGATCCAAGAACTCGGACCGAGTTCTAGCATCGTGGACATTAGGTCTAAGGTCTGTTCTTTTTCTCTATATTGTCTGAACTGATGCGCACAATGCAATAAGTTGAAATGAAGCAAACGTATATCTGTTTCGTTTCAAATTCACTGTGGGCACAATGCAGAGGAAAAAAATAAGTTTACTTACAGTGTGTTTCGTTTTACACATAATGTGGAAGATGGTATCATTACAGTATAAGGATCATACAATAGAATCATACCTCATTTTTGAATCAGACGCGCAGATTTGCTTGTGCATCCTAAGCAGCCATAACTTTGGGTAGCCAATCCCGTTCAAAGTAAAATGTATCTTCGTTATTTATTTCCTTCTCCTTTATGTATTTATATAGTTTACATCTATAATAATATTACAATTGAAAAGACATACTAACTAATACTAATATTAATTATTTATTGCAACTACAAATTTGTAATCATTACAAAAATTTATTAATGGCGATGGTTCCTAATACTATTGATACGGTACTCTCGATTTAATGATGGAGTTAATGTTTCTGTGAAGTTAACACCTCAACTTTAAAAATTTTAATAACAGTACTGCTTGCATCCGCAATAGTTCCATGGTTTCTGATAGGTTTTATAAATAATTTGATTTAGATCAAAAATTTAAAAAAGTAAAAATATGTGGTGCTAACTGTCATATTCGCATGGCACCGCAAGATTCGAGAAAGTCAATTTTTTGGACGGAATCTTAAAGTACTCGAAGAGTTCTAAAAGTTCCTGATCGATTATAACAGTAGTACCGACCATTAAATATTTTTAAATAAATTTGTAAAATAAGAGCTAGCATCTCAAGTTTAAAAAATATTAATATTTTTGCGCCATTTTTTTTGTATTCGAAAAGTTATACAGTTTCTGACAAGTTTTAGTGACACTATTGGCCATTTTAATATGTTTAAACAATTTTTTAATCCTCGCGTTGGCATCGCACGTCAAGAATAAAGTATCTCTAAACAGCCAGTACTGGCTATTTTTTGGCTTTTTTCGACAGTACTACAATAGTTCCGAAGACTTATGCTGATTTAGCCCGAGTACGTACGATGTCAGCGCGAGGATTAAAAAATTGTTTAATTTAAATATATTGACGTCGGGCTAAACCAGCATAAGTCTTCAAAATAAAATTAATGATGTATTAGAATTCAAATTGAAGCACGTAACATCTTGTTCAAATGTCAAATGTAATTATAATGTAAGTACACTAGAAAAAAGTTGTTTGTTAATATTACCTATACAGTCGACATTAAAAAGAAAAAAAGGTGTCAGTCTGCAAACTTTGATTGATTTAGAATTTTTGAAATGGGAAACGATAAATGGCAATTGTAACGAATGTAAGGATACTATTCTGAAAAAGAAAATTGAATCTATTTTATCCGTCTTACGACGAGTACTGTCACGATTAATAAAAAAAGTACAAGGTAATAAGCGCTATATTTCACGAGGACGGAGAAATGAATCGTGATCACTACATGTGTATGTTGAGAGCAGACAAAAAGTCGGAATGGTATTACTCTAATGATTTACAAGTTCAAGAAGAACTGGCCCAAAGGAGCACAAGGAGCATACATAATATTCTTCGAGCAGAGTAAAGTTTAGAGTTAAGTAAGTTTAGAAATAATTTTTATATATAATGATACTTTCTTGGAATAGAACGGAATTCTTCTGGTACGTTTATGTGAACCTTAATAAACTATTGAGATTTATAATTAAATTTTATTTTCAGAATATTGAAACAATTAATAGATTGCTTTGGTGCTGTATAAGACTGCCGCTCAAATAAAGCATCGGTTGCTTGGCGCCGTATAAACGCTGCATTAGAACATCGACTGCTCTAGTCCTGTATAAGAGTTGCCGTAAGCGCGGAAATAACACATCGGCTGCTCTGATGCTGTATGTAAGCGTTGCATTAAAACGAATGCAATAAAGTTCTGGCTTGCCTTAGGTATCGATATATTACTATGAATAACAAAAATTTCTTACCGTAGTCGAAGAATTTCATGATATTTTAGAGCATTAAGAAATGAATCTCTATGTCAAAGATCGTGTTAAAATCGAAAAGACGAAGAAAATGTGATTGCACTCTCACGAGAATGAGCGATAGAGGGGCCCAATTCTTTATTTTTAGTATATTCATACAATCCGCATGATCCAGATTTTAATGGGTCATGAGTGCATAAGGCCTATCTTTTTGAGATACAGCGTAACGCGTCGCCGATTTGTGCGCATTGTCGTGCGACTACAGCGATGCACACGTGTTGTGTTGCCCATCTTGGACCGCGGAGAGGACGTCACTTTTTGTTCAGCGGTTGGGGCTCGATGTCCTTGACAGGACATATGGCAGGCGGCTATGTGCCCCGCTGCGTGGACGGCTCTCGCAGATTTCTGCGAGGTTGTCATGCGCAAGAAGGAGCGGGCCGAGTGGGAGCGTCAGGCCCTGAAGAAGCAAAGGGCTCTTTTAGCTCGGGCCTGTTTGGGGTCTGACGACAACCATGTGTAAAAGTATATATATAATGTACATATTTAGGATAGCATTTAATATAATATAAGATAAGATTCTAGCTTTAAAATAGTATACCGGACCATGGAGGTGGAAAAGTATACTCCACTGGACTTGGATGCACCTTGATGAAGTGCCGCCGGGTAGGCGATTCCGAGGTGTGCCCAATATGGTTTTGCAGAAGTGCTGAATACGCAGAGTTTTTTAGCAGGTAGGTTGATATCCGCTGTTCTTCCGTATAGGAGGGACGCAGACTCATCAAATTCTGCGCAATCAAGAGACCAGCTCCTGGGTGCCTTTCCCTCATCCAGTTAGGTTCTCCTTCGGGAACAGGATTAAATATAATATATATGCATATGATATATATTTATATGTATATACCATATGTTTCAATTTTTTTCTAACTCTATTGCATGAATTGTATCTTATAGAAGGTTACGTGATAAGAGTCAAAAATATATACATTTGTGATACTCTTGCATTATTAGAAAGCTGCCCCGTATATCTGTATTCTGAAAAATAGGTGATATATCCTTAAAAATTCATTCAAATGAAAAGGCCTTGTTCAAAAATAGATCTTCACAAATGTAAACCTTTCAAAATTTAAATGATTATCTAACAATATACGTAGGCTGCTGGAAAAATTTCTGCAATCTAATATTCCCAATGGCGCCAATGTTCTGCTACTATCATATTCGTAAAATTAGACGTTTTAATTTATTCAGTTGACAGTTTGTACCCAAACCAACTAATTTTTTTGCATAGTATTTTAAAAGAAGTTATTTTGTGAGAAAATGGAAATTTCGCGTAAAAATTTTCGGGCAATGATTTTTTACGATTACAAATGTAATCTAACTCCGAAACAATGCATCGATCGACTTCACTTGGCTTTTGGGGATGAAGCCCCATCCAATAGGACTGTTTATAATTGGTTTGCCGAATTCCAGCGTGGACATACCTTTCTTTGTGACGAATTTCGTGAAGGTCGTCTATCCACGTCTGTTGTTGCCACTAATGTTGATGCTGTGCGTGAAATGATTGAGCGAGACCGGCATATGACATACCGCGAGATTCAGGCATCCTTAGGCATTGACATGAAAATAATACATACGATTTTGCATGATCACTTGAGCGTACGGAAACTTTGCAGTCGTTGGATCGTACACAATTTGACCGAAGCTCAAAAACAGGCTCGTGTTAAATGGAGCAAAGAAATGCTCAAGAAATTCAACCGAGGTCGGTCAAATTTGATCTATAACGTTGTTACTGGAGCCAAAACATGGATCTATTCGTATGAGCCCGAAAGTAAACAATTCACTGTTTGGTTTATTTCAAAATGAACCGAAATCAACAAAAGTTGTTCGTTCACGCAGTATTGCCAAGCAAATGATTGCTTGTTTCTTCAGTTATACCGGATATGCAACCGTGACTTTAGAAGATCGAAGGATTGTAAATACTGATTGGTATACAACAATTTGTTTGCCAGAAGTCATAAATGAATTGCGTAGAACAAAAAATCATCCTTCATCATGACAACGCCAGCTGTCACACAGCACGTCAAACCGTTGATTTTTTATCCAGTAAAAATGTCGAATTGATGACTCATTGTCCGTATTCACCTGATTTATCACTTCTTTAATGACTTCTTTTTGTTCCGAAACATTAAAAAGATGCGTGATGAACGATTTGAGTTTTTCGCCTGAAGCAGCTGTTGACACATTTCGTACTGATTTCTGAGGTTACAGCCTCAGAGTGAAAAAAATGCTTTGAAAATTGGTTCGAGCGTATGCAAAAATGTATCGATCTTAAAGGCGAATACTTCGAAAAACAATAAAGCCATTTATCGAATTTTACATGTTTTTTTTCATATTGTTTGCAGAAACTTTTCCAGCCTATGTAGTAGAAAATGAGAAAAAGGCAAGAAGCAAGAGAAGAAAGGAGGGGGTCGACGATAAATTTGCATTTTATTGCAATTCGATGCATTGCGTTTCATGAAATTGTAACGCGAAATGAGACAAAGTCATGTACGCCTGTATTGGTAAAACGTAGATTTATCAATAATCATTATTCTTTTCCTTCGTAGATGAATAGCCCTCCTCTTACTTAAGTTTTCTCTTTCTCTCTCTCATTTTAATATAGAAACATCATCAAGTTTTCCGCCGATTAAGTATTCATTTAGGTCATTAAAATGTAAAATTGTAATACATTATTTAAAATAAAATATGAATATTATATTGTTAAATCTTTTAGTACTTAGAAATTTTATTGTACTTTAATATTGTGAATAATGTAAATAATGTGAAATATTTTCACAATATGAAATTGTATTTGAAACATTTGAAAAAAATTGAATAAATACAAAAACTCATTTTTCACTTTTTCACACTTTATATAAAAAATAAACATCAAATATAAAGAATAAAATGTTCCATATTTAAATCACAAGAAAATTTTTTTACACCTTTTTCTTTCTCCCTTGTCCATCATAAGCTTTTCACGCGGCATCGCGTATAAGCTCGTTAGCGGCGATGCCACGTCCCGAAGAAATTGTACACTGACGCGATCGCGCGTCCGGCTGCGTGGAGAGCCTCCGCCGCGTTGATCAACTTATCTCTCCTTCTCAAATTTTTTCCTTTGTACATTCTTGAAAATATTATTAAGCGCCATTTTTCCTTTTATTTGCTTTTGAAGCTTAGTAATAGAGTAGCTCATTTCGCAAAATGGACATACGCTAGAAACATCCATGGACATCCATCGTATGCTGTCCGATCGGATGCGGGAAAATGATTTTTATAAAGACTTTTCTCCGATATTTATCTCTCATATCCGACGTACGTTTCGAGAGAGTTTTGTTCTATTATGCAAGAATGGCAAGAAGCCTATCGTCAATTACGGCACTCGTGAAAAAGAGCTTGGAGAACAAAGTTGGGGATGAGGCAATACTCATAAAGCGACGAAGAAGAATATAATCGAATTTCGCGAAGGTTTACCCCGGAAGATTACTCGAACGATCCGCTTTCTCCAAAATTAATGATAATCGACGATCTTATGAGAGAATCGTGCGACGCGATCATGGATCTTTTCACCAAAGGCAGTCATCACAAAAATCTCGGTGTTATTCTTATCTCTTCCATAGCAGGGCGACGCGATATATCGCTCAACGCGAATTACATCGTCGTTTTCAAAAATCCATGTGATCGCGCTCAAATTCGTCATTTAGCGCGCCAAGTCTATCCCGATTCGAATCGAAATTCCTAGAAGAGGCATACTACGACGCTATGTCGAGGCCTCACGGCTACTTGCTGCTCGATCTGAAACAATTAACCCCGGACGAGTACCGATTTCGTACATGTATTTTTCTCGAGAATACGACTCATTACGTCTACATGCCGCGTAGATCATTTTCCAGTAATATAAAAGGTGAGTACAGGTAATCATACGTGTCAGTCGTAGATTTTTTTCGCTATGAAGTGAGTGACGAGAAATCGTGCAGTGCGACGAAAATCGCCTCACATTCGATCGGTAAGAGAAACGCCTGTCTCCTCGCGGCGCTCTATCATTTGAACAAAAATCAATGCACAACTTTCTTACGTGGCGCTGACGAAAAACTAATTCGTTGTATCTGCGAATGTGTTTTTAATACACACAAAGGTAACGTCTCGTTGTAAAAAAATTTGGTTAATCAAATACAAAATGACTTTGCGTCCCATCGTTGCAAAACGTGGTAATTGGAAGGATAAAAGAAAGCTGTTGGTGCAACGAGGCGGATTTTTACCTTATATTATCGGATCTATATTATCAATCTTATTATCACTAATTATCAAAGGAACGAAATGGCGGGAATAAAACATTATGGAGAGGATAAAAAAAATGATTTTAATTTCAACGGAAAACTTCGAGAGAATGCAACATTAGTTACGTCAGAATCCGACATCATTCGCTGGCAGGGAGTCAAAAGAAATCGCAGTACCGCAAAATTCAAATAACATAACGAGCATTGTACAACGCAAACCCCCGGAACTCTAATACGACTCGATACGGAGATGAGTCGTATTCTTAATTCTGACTGGTCACGCGACGAAAGTGAGAGATGGAAAATATACAGAGAAACATTATGGCGATACCTACGATTTATCCAAGAAACGCGAAGACAGAAAGACACCCAACGAAAATGAAAATGCAGAAGATAACGCTACGCGAGATACCTCCGTTGATAACGAGGCGACGAACGATGACGTTTTTCACGATCTCACGCAAACGCCTAATATATCGCCGGCACAATCCATCAATAACACCAGTTATATTACGAAAAATTTCGAAATTTCGAGCGAGCATAATCGTGCGACGAATAATCATGCGATGAAAAACATTGAAGAAATAGTGCAAAGCATATCGAAATCCTATCATGTAAGCATGTGCACTTACTGATGAAACATTTGTTTCAAAAAGCTGTGCCTGATAGAATTAATTGGGACAAGCATGGAATCGTGATTATAGATGGTAACGTCGTGAAAGATTCGAATATCAGTGACTTGATAAAAGTCGCGGTGCGCGAGAGAAAAACTGTGAAAGTAGTTGGTAGAAATCAGTTTGCGCTATTACTACTGCGTTGAACATATCTTCCGCACTGGTGAGAAATAAAAGATTATTGTCCACGATGTAAGCAACGTTAAATTTCCTCGGGCGAGTTCCACGCCCTTTATAATGATGGAACGAGTTCCACGCCGATTGTATCGAGAGCGCGAGGAAAGAGAAAAACATAAAAATTATGAACAAGAGATAGACAAGGAAAGCTTGCTGATTCTGTCATATGTAACCTGTCACATTATGCGAATTATTCGGCGATGGATAATCTAACTCGTGCTGTTAAAAAAAAAAAAATTTCTAAATTTCCAAATTTCTCACGGGCAGAAGTCGTGCACTGGCTCGAATCGTAAGACGCGTACACGTTACACCGACCATTATGAAGAAAATTTCCACGATTGCATTACAAAGATCGACGATGTGTGGGAGGCAGATTTGATCGAACTTCGAAATCTAAAAAGTTACAATGATGGTTATTCCTATGTGTTAGTGATTATTAATGTACTAAGTAAATATGTCTAGGTAGAACCGTTACGCGACAAAACGAGAAACTGTGTGGTAAAAGCTTTCTAGCGCGTACTAGCGAAAAGCGAAGAATGAGTACCCGTATATTTACAAACAGACAAGGGCAAGGAATTTGTGCAATCAATGCAGAAATTTCTTAAAGAAAACGACATTCGTTTTCGGGTAATGCGCAATCCAGACGCCATCGTCGAACGCTTCAACACTGAAGGAGA